GATGGTGGAATAGACGGTCCCCAGCATCACCCTCTCCCACAAATCAACCAATTTACAACTATTAAAAATCACCCACAGGAATTCTGGTCAAGATGGTGGAATATACGGTCCTCAGCATCACCCTCTCCCACAAATCAACCAATTTACAACTATTAAAAAGCAACGACAGCCAAGCTGGGTCTGCTAGAGCTCAGGGGAAGAGGAGGAGAGACCTATGGAGTTCACAAAGTCAGGAGAAGCCATGATGGGAGAAAGAAAGAACCGCTCCAACTGTTTAGAGCCCCGGCTGCTTCCAGGCTGGAGCTGCTGAGCACATGGAGCAGGAGCTGGAAAAACCCACAGCTGTGCCCTTTGGATGAAGTTGCTTGGAGGTAGCAGGGGAGAAGAGGACTTTGGTTGCTCCCAGGCCAGCAAGACCACTAACAAGATTCCCATGGACCCACATAGGAGTGAGGGGCCACAGACAACAGAAAAATGGAGCCACTCAGAAGCTGGTGAGTCACCACAAGGGACTGGAGCATGGCCTATCCCATGGGAAGTGTTTAGACTGTGGGCAGTGGGGGAGATGGGCCCGCTGGAGGAACCCCAGGGCACAGCAAGGACAGCTGATCTGCCCCCCAATCAGTGCAGGAGCACTCAGTGGAGACTGGTCAGGAATATAGAACTGCATGGAGTACAGTTTACTGAAAAGACTCAGGCCCAGACCAGAGTTTCCACACAACCCAGGTGCACTGGATCTCATGAGTCCTGGAAGCACCTATAAAGTCAACCATTAAAACCTGAGCTGCACTAAAAGCCTTCCCCAGGGAATCAGCAGCAAAGCAACAATTTAGCTCAACCACAGGGCTCAAGTACTGGTCCCCACAGGAAGTTTCCCCTTTTTAGAAGTAAGCAAAGGGCAAAAAATTAGTTCCAGTTCAGGATTTAAGTGGTGGGAACAGCAAATAATCCAACACAGAACTTAAAGAAAAAACAGAATACCTGCAGACCGGAGACTAAGTTTGATATTAACTTGTAAAGGTCTCTCACGACCAAAAAACACCTATAAAACCTAGAAGGACCAGATGTCCCCTGGGCTACCAAGACAGGGAGGGGAGAGGACTGGGGGCCTCAGCCATGTCCCCAACACCTGCAACCAGTCCTGAGGGTAGGGGGCCGAGGGCCTCAGCCACACCCCATCAACACCTGCAACTAGCCAGCAATGACCACTGAGCCAGTACAAGAAGCATCCCGGGCTCCTGAGCTGGGGCGGTTGGGGGGCACGAGCTTCAGCCACACCCCTCTGACATCTGCACCCAGTCCAGCAATGACCAAGCCACAGCTGAAAGCCCCTGGTCTCCCCTGCAGGAATGAGGGGGGTGACACAGGCCTCAACCCTGCTCCTCCTCCTTCCCCCACCCTATTTCCTTCCCCTTTCCCCTCTCTCAACAGTACACAAGATGAAGTCCCTGCTGGCTTGATTTTTCATGGAGAGATTTGTAGTCAAGCACAATTTGTGAGCCACTGGCACGGGAAGCTGTTGTGAATTCATGGAGTCCTCACAGAAGAGCTCCATGGAGAGCTGGGTTTGTGCGCCAACCAACTGCTTCTCTGACTACAGTCACCTTCACCAAGCTCACGTGTCCTCTCTCTTCTCCCCTGCCTCCTACTTCCGTCTTTTTTTTCTTTTGTTGAAGCAGCCAGACCTGCCATTAAGAAATGAGTGCACATATCCTCTTTGTTGTTAACCACGCTGCAGTCCCTAAGCAACCTTATAGTTATAGGACACAGGAGCGGAAGGTCTCTCCTAGTCTGTCTTCGAAGTACAGATCATGAATCTCCAAAAGATACTAGGAAGCCATTTTCTCCTCTATCAACCTACCCCAATCTCTCCCTGGCATCTTGTGCTCCAGATGTTGGAGAGGTTGTTTCCAAAAACCTGCTGGAGATAGATTCCCTCCCACCCATGGGGGCCAAGCTCTTATGGGTGCTTGACATGAGTGTGCTTCGTGGGAGCTGAGTATTTTCTGTGAGAAACACTTGCACCCTTGTCAAAGGCCCTACAACCTTTTTCTCATCCTTTACAACTTCTTTCTTAGGCAACGGAAGCTTCGTCGGGTTCAGTCGACTGCATCGCACAAGTTTGGCTTCATGCCCAGCTCCTCTGGGGGTGAACAGTGAGTGGCTCACCTGGTTGCAGGGCCAGCTTCCCGGGCACATGACCTGTACGGTTACACAGGGCCCCACACTTAGTAAGGACCTGTGTTTGGTTTCTAGCTCTGCTGTCACCATCTTGAAACACGCAGTAACTTTTTTTAACAGGGAATTTGCATTTTCGTTTTGCTCTGGACTCTATAGATTATGCAGCCATCCTGCAGGGCTGCACTGTGAGCCTTTTGGAGGACTTCCTTGGACAGATTTTATTCCACTATGTTCCTGAGCCTGGTTAGAGTAGTGGCTAATCACCAAGCTCTGGAAGAGACAGCTGGTGTCTGAATCCCAGCTTACTTACTGGCCTGTGATCTTAAAAGTTCCTCAGTGTCTCAATTTCTTTATCTGTAAAGTGGGGATAATAGTATGTATCGCAGGCTTGCTGGGAGGATAAAATATGTTATTGTGTGTGAAACACTCACAATGGTCCCTGGAACATAGTAAAAAGCTATGCAGTGTTAGCTGTTTTTGTCATGTGGCTACTCCAAGGTCAAATTGCTTTGTATCTTTCTGCAGTGTATCTTGCACTTGGTGGTGAATCTGACTATTGAATTGAATTAGTTTTGCAGTAGTCTCTGTTCATGAAAACGTCTCAGCAGGGTGCTGTGAGCAATGTGGGTGTGGAGGGAAGACCCAAGTCTGCCTTTGCCCTGCCATGGAGCAGATTTCCTTGTCAGCTCCCCCTTTGTCCTGACCCTGCAGACATCCCACCTACTTAAGGCCAGGTTTCCCAAAGTACAGGCCATGTACCCCGGGACAAGATGATTTTAGGTACCACATAGACCCAGTGTTAAATAACATTAAGTCTCATAGTGGGAGAGTTATGTATGTTTTATATTTTTTCAATCCACCGATTACATATTGTAGAAAGTCACCTTGTTGGTAAGTTTTTAACGTCTGTCTCATACTTGCTAATTTTTCCTTTTTAATAAGGAAAAGGCAGGCCTGGAAAAGGCAGCTGCTTTCAGCAGCTACAGTGTCCAGCTGGAATTTTAAACATCGTTATGTTCTCATTGTATTTATTTCTAGGATTAACTTATAAGGGAAACTGGTTTTCCATTTAAGGTAATGATCTAAAGTTTCTAATGGGGAGGAAAATAACACGTGAGAAAGTCTAACAGTGCTTTAAAATGAATAAGAAGACATTAGCAAAGAAACACAGGGCCCTCACCAGAAGCAAATGGAAAGTATGAGGACCGTGAAGAACAGTCGGTTTAACACCAATTAGCATCAGCATCACACAGCTGAATTTTTATCTCGGAAGAGTAGTATGATTTATAACCACGTAGAAGAAAAGACTGTCTCTAGGGACGTTCTCACCACGAACTCGGGGAGAGTAAAGAGAGGGAGTAAAGGAAGAGGGGTCTTTGGTTTTGGAAAAAATAGGAAATCACAAGCCCACCTACTGGGGAACATGTGGATTCTTCAGACATGTCATTCTCCTACTGACTGTGACAGTGCAGAAGATTAAGCATCTATCTGCGTATTCACGTGGCCTCCCCTGTGCTTCTGGTTGCATTTTTACAGCCAGGACAAACACTGCAGCTCTGTCTCCTGGGGGCCCAGGTGACTTGGCCCAGGTGGAGTAACCGCAGCCCATTGCTTACCTCATTCTCCCGCCTTTATTGTGGAGAGTTAATCAGCAAGACAGCAGTTTCCTCTTAAAGTGCATTGTTTAAGTTTTTAAGAAAAAGTTAATTTAAAAAATAGAAGACTCAGGGGGAACCTGTTTGTGGGGAAAGGGGTGAGGTGAGCGCCACATCTCTGTTTGTTTCCCACCCCAGTCCTGTACATTCTCCACCCTTCTCTGCGCTGCGATATGCCCCAGGCCTATGTGGGCCACATCAGGGTGCTCTTGTCCTCTGGCTTCTAGTTGGGGTCACTCAATGGGAGCACAGGCAGGAGAATGAGGGAGGAGGAAGAGTGAAGTTGGCGGTCTGTGTTCCTGGCTCCCTCCCTGCAGGGTTCCTGCCACTGGTTGTGTCCCTTGACTGCAGGTCCACAGCCCCCTCTGTCTCCAGGGTCTGGTGTCCCCTCCCCTTGCTTCTTCATGCTTAGTAGGAATGGCCCACTGCCACCAGCCCCAGGGAACTGCGCTATCCCTGTGGTTTCCCCATAAAGCTCTATGGTAAACAGTCCTTTTATTGACTTCTCTATTTACCCAATTTGAACGCATCATCTGTTTTTTGCTGCATTGTGGCTGATACGAGGTTATTTACAAAGATCAAAGTTTGGAAAACACTAACCCCAAGAAAGTCCACCTATATTCCCAAAAGATCTCTCTAATCCCCTAAACCTTCCAGATGTCCAGAGGAGGTGACGGCAGGGGGCGGTGACCATGCGTCTTCCTCTCCTTCCTGCCACCCCTCTCTTGTTCCCAAGCACTTCTCTCCAGTTACTATTCTAATACGGAGAAGTCAACATCTACTGTTTTCTCCAGTCCCGAAGACTAAATCACATTCTTTTCTATGTAACAGAATTCTATCCCAATAAAACAATTAAATGATTCTGATATTACCTGAAGTTTTATTTTAAAAATACCAGACACACATTTTCTCTGTATATGTTTCTACTGAATCCTAAGAACAGATGCCCAAGGATATGAGGCAATCGCAGCTAATTATGGATAGGAAAGCTGAAATGTTATCTACGGAAGGATTTTCAGGTGGGTGATGGAGACCAAGTTCTGTACGATGAGAACCTCTCCCCTCCAAGGCAGATAATTATAGAGAAGATAACCAAGAGCTTTGCCTTCCTCCTTAGTAGGAATGGTCTAGAATAAATTGCACACATACACCTCCCTCAAAAATCCAGGGAGCTATGTTCAGTCCAGGCTTATATTACACACAGGCTACTTTCAGGTCGTGAAAAACAGCCACGCTTGCTTGTAAGCTCACTGGCTCCGGTAAGCAGACCGTCTTTGTGCTGCAAGAGAAGAGCAACAAGAGGGCAGGTTGCTGGCTGGTCGACAGCAGGGCCAGCGACTGAGTGGCTCGTGTGTTCCCACAACGTCTGGTGAAAACTCTTCGGTTGTCTACAATACAGCCAATTCCTGTCGTCCAAGTGCCCAGGGGTGGTAAGGCTAATAATAAAATGCCTGCTAGAGGCAGGGAAAGGGGATGTGGATTCCGGATCCACACCATGAGTGTGACCAGTGACCCTTTTGAAGTGGAGGCTAAGGAGGTGAAAATAAGCAATGAGAAAACTTGTTCCAAAAAAACCTTACCTAGAAACCAAATATATAAAACAGATAATATGGAATTTCTTATACTGAAGGGGGGTGGGGAAATGAAGCTCACCTTTTTTGGCTTCCTTTCTAACATCCCCAACCCAAGGTGGCCCTGCAGGAGGTTCAGGAAAACCCTGGGTCTTTGTCATCTCTGCTCCTAAGACGGTAGTCACCACAATGAGATTGAACTTCAACAAGCAACACGCCTAAAGTTGAGATTGCTCCTGGTGTGTGTGTCTGGGGGTGGATACTGGGGCTTACCTGTCATGGACGGGCAGAGCGGAAGTGCAGAAGTTCCCAACAATGGTAGTCTGTTTTTTTTTCCAAATCTGGGTGGAGGCTTTAAACTGGAGTTTCACTTGGTTTATCTGGCACTGAGGGTTGGGGTGGGCTATGATGCCTTTCCCCTGGCATTGCTGCCTAGGTCTGCAAGGGAAATGGAAAGTAAATGACTGTGGCACTGACTGCCTGTTTGGGCTCTGCTGGTGGCACAGGCTGGCTGTCATGCACAAAGGAGTTAGCTCCTTGAAGGTGGGGACCATGGTCCTACGAATCATCCTCACCAGCCCCTCTGCCCATACACCCACAGCTTCGAACATGACCCAGAAAATATTTGTTGATTTTGGAGAGTAAACGAGTTGACACTGCAGCACAATAGTAGCTCTTGGATTTTCCTATTTGGAAAATGTCCCTCATTCTTGGATTCCTAGTTGGAGGAGATCTTCACTTCCAGATCCAATTATGTGGAAGAAGAAGCCCTCTTTTAGGACATCTCAGTTTAAAGAATTTCATGTGAGGACCACTCTGTTTTAGGCTTGGTATGAATGTGAGGGTGGAAACAACAAAAACAGCAGCAAAATACCTTGAAGCCAAACAGAGCTGGAATGGAACTTAAGTTTTGTCTCTTCCCAGCTGTGTGGCTTTCAAAGAATTTCATGTGAGGACCACTCTGTTTTAGGCTTGGTATGAATGTGAAGGTGGAAACAACAAAAACAGCAGCAAAATACCAGATCTTGAAGCCAAACAGAGCTGGAATGGAACTTAAGTTTTGTCTCTTCCCAGCTGTGTGGCTTTGGGCAAGTTACCTAACCTGGCAAGGTGGCCATGGAGTCCCACAGCCCTTAGGTACAAATTGGGTTTCTGCATGTGTTGCTATAAGCTTGAACCACAGGGTACATGTTGGTCCATATTGACTTCAGTCCAGGGTGAAAATGGAGTCCAGGTCTCTTTTAACCCACCCTCTGGGGCTTGTCTCTGAGATTCCCCATCCGTTTAGAAGATTCAGGCTCCAGTCCGGACTGAGACAAAGACCAGACAGGAGTACAAAGTGACCAGCCTAGCAAGGTGCTTCAAATAGGGCTGTGAGGGCTGGTCGGTTAGCTCGGTTGGTTAGAGAGCAGTGTTATAACACCAAGGTCAAGGGTTCGGATCCCCACACCAGCCAGCCACTAAATAAATAAATAAGTAAATGAAAAGGGTGATGAGACCATAGACAAAGGCAGGAAATGGTGAGATTCAAATGTGGAGGAAAGAGGCCTGCCACAAAAGTCACACACTGTGCACAAGGCACAGCCCACCTAGCAGAGCCCTGAGGGGGCTGTGGGAAGGCCAGCAGGCCGCCCAGCGCAGGGAGGGGACGGGTTTGGCTCCATCCTGCTCTGGGCTGCCCCACCCCCCATTTCCTCCCTCCCTGGGCAGAGGTGCCGCGGCTGGGGACCGCCTCACCGCTGGGGTTCCCTTTCCTCTATGGCCTTCGCAGTGAGTGACAACATGTCTTCTTTGTGAACTTTTTAGTCCAGGGTTAGTCACATCGTTTTATTTTCCTTTTGAGGGAAGAGCCTGTATAACTTTGTTTATAACTTGTTCCTTTCTTTTCCAAAAAAAAAAAAAAATGTTTTGAAATGTTTCAGAGAAAAAAATAAGATTGTTCCGTTTAAGAAACTGCTTGGCTAGAGGAGTATGTAATACATAAAGGATGTGAAAGATGCTTTAAGTGAGTGGTTTGGAGACTTGGCGGTGGTAAATTCTCCAATGAGAAGGAAATCTTGGGATGCACAAAATTATACAAAGTAGGGGAAAGACCACACCTAGCCTTCTCACAACCCCCCAATTTCTGATCTAAAAAATCAAAACCCAAGAAATTGAAGGTAGAAGCTAATCATGTTTTTGTGGTCATTGTCAAAAAAGCAGTGCANTAAAGAATTTCATGTGAGGACCACTCTGTTTTAGGCTTGGTATGAATGTGAGGGTGGAAACAACAAAAACAGCAGCAAAATACCTTGAAGCCAAACAGAGCTGGAATGGAACTTAAGTTTTGTCTCTTCCCAGCTGTGTGGCTTTGGGCAAGTTACCTAACCTGGCAAGGTGGCCATGGAGTCCCACAGCCCTTAGGTACAAATTGGGTTTCTGCATGTGTTGCTATAAGCTTGAACCACAGGGTACATGTTGGTCCATATTGACTTCAGTCCAGGGTGAAAATGGAGTCCAGGTCTCTTTTAACCCACCCTCTGGGGCTTGTCTCTGAGATTCCCCATCCGTTTAGAAGATTCAGGCTCCAGTCCGGACTGAGACAAAGACCAGACAGGAGTACAAAGTGACCAGCCTAGCAAGGTGCTTCAAATAGGGCTGTGAGGGCTGGTCGGTTAGCTCGGTTGGTTAGAGAGCAGTGTTATAACACCAAGGTCAAGGGTTCGGATCCCCACACCAGCCAGCCACTAAATAAATAAATAAGTAAATGAAAAGGGTGATGAGACCATAGACAAAGGCAGGAAATGGTGAGATTCAAATGTGGAGGAAAGAGGCCTGCCACAAAAGTCACACACTGTGCACAAGGCACAGCCCACCTAGCAGAGCCCTGAGGGGGCTGTGGGAAGGCCAGCAGGCCGCCCAGCGCAGGGAGGGGACGGGTTTGGCTCCATCCTGCTCTGGGCTGCCCCACCCCCCATTTCCTCCCTCCCTGGGCAGAGGTGCCGCGGCTGGGGACCGCCTCACCGCTGGGGTTCCCTTTCCTCTATGGCCTTCGCAGTGAGTGACAACATGTCTTCTTTGTGAACTTTTTAGTCCAGGGTTAGTCACGTCGTTTTATTTTCCTTTTGAGGGAAGAGCCTGTATAAGTGTTTATAACTTGTTCCTTTCTTTTCCAAAAAGAAAAAAAAAATGTTTTGAAATGTTTCAGAGAAAAAAATAAGATTGTTCTGTTTAAGAAACTGCTTGGGTAGAGGAGTATGTAACATATAAAGGATGTGAAAGATGCTTTAAGTGAGTGGTTTGGAGACTTGGCAGTGGTAAATTCTCCAATGAGAGGGAAATCTTGGGATGCACAAAATTATACAAAGTAGGGGAAAGACCACATCTAGCCTTCTCACCACCCCCCAATTTCTGATCTAAAAAAATCAAAAACCAAGAAATTGAAGGTAGAAGCTAATCATGTTTTTGTGGTCATTGTCAAAAAAGCAGTGCAAATCTCTTGTGGGAGGGAAGCACTAACGTGGGAGGTCCATTTGGTGGTGTCTGCACCACCTGCCCATCTTCCTTTCAGTTTTTCAGCTCTCCTAACACATTTGTAATTAGTTTGCTGTGTTAAATTCCTTCTATTGGACTACCCAGCATGGGCTCTGTTCCTCTGATGGGACCCTGATTGAGAGAGTGACTTTTTCTGATCAGTCTGTATCCTGCTAGCTTGTGAGTAACGAACCAATTGCTTCTTGAAGAAACATGCATCATTGCTGCTGACTTCCTAGGCCCTGCCAGGCCTGTGGCTCCTTACAGTTGAGGTTCTTTGCCCTCTCACTTCAAGCCTAGTCCCACCAGCCCCCTGGCCCAAGTCTGCCCCAACAAGGGAAGGAAAGATCAGCGCCCGTTCCAGGTACTGGAACCACCTCACCCAGCATCAAGCCCTCCTGGCTGCTAGTCTGGCCCTTACCTTGTACTTCTTTGCTAGTGGACCCTCTGCCTCAGGTTCTGTTCTGGTGACCGACCTAGTGCTACTGCTCCCCTTTCCAGGGGTGTGTGCTCCCCAGGCTCTGGCCAGCCTTCCCTGGGCTAGTGACTGAAGCCCTCCTACCTGCTGATATGCCTGATGACTCCCTGCCTGGATTTCTGAGCACTGTTTCCTATCAGAGACCTGATTCCTATGTCCCAGCCACCTGCCGGGACACCCCATTACTGCTGCCTGCCTGCCTTGTCTGCTATCATCTGAATACACTATGCTTGGACCCAGTACTGATCTCAAACCTGAGACAGTTCCCCAGCTTCTGTCTGTGGGTGGGTCTATAGCAGGTGCTGCCCCCAGCCCAGTTGGCACACCCATCAGCAATCACACCGTGCCTGACCTGGGATGTCCATGTGTGTACAGTCATGCGCTGCATGATGATGTTTCAAGCATCGACATATGATGGTGGTCCCATAAGACTATAATGGCTATATCATACAGCCTAGGTGTGTAGTAGGCTATACCGTCTAGGTGTGTGTAAGTACCTTCTGCAATATTCACACAATAACGAAATCACCTAACAACACATTTCTCAGAATGAGTCCTGTCATTAAGCAACGCATGACTGTATATGTAAAATGAAAAGGCATTGAGCTCCTAAGGAGAGGGGTCAGCCACGTGGGACACTTACGTACATCGTGATCTTGACTGAGGAGGTGATATTGCTGCTAAGGAAAGTGACCTTGATGATGGTGTCCTTGTTTCTCACCTTCTGCAAGTGAAACTCCACGAGGCTGTGATGCACTAGAAAACCAAAGCACAGCAGAGATGGGCCAGTGGGCAGAGGGCACGGTGAGCAAAGAGCCCAGAGAGCAGCAGCAAAGTAGCTGGGAATCGGGTTCTGCCTCTCAGGAGCCATGTGCCCTGAGCACATTCTTATTATCTCAGATCCTCAGTCTCCTCAAGTGTAGGTTGGGGATAATAAAAGTAGATGCCCTACAGGTCTGGATAAGAATCAGATGGGTTAATACATATACAGTCCTTAGGACAGTGTCTGAGCCTCGGAAGCATTCAGTGTTAGTTTTTTGTTTTGTTTTTCATTACTCGTAATGCTAGAATGTTCCACTCCTCCCTGTTTGGTGACATTATCGTGGATGTGTGATCTTGAAAGAACCAAAAAGGATCTATTGTATACTGCTATTGTTTCAATATCTGTGTCTTCCCCCAAATTCACATTTAAACTTAGTCCCCAGCGCAACAATGAGGGCTCTGCCCTCATGAATGGATTAGTGCCTTATAAAAGGGCTCAAGGGGACTAGCTAGCCCCTTTTCCGCCCTTCTGCCATGTGGGGACACAGTGTTTGCCCCTCTGGAGGACACAGCAACAAGGCACTATCTTGGAAGCAAAGAGAGCAGCCCTCACAGACACCAAATGCCAGTGCCTTGATCTTGGACTTCCCAGCCTCCAGAACTGTGACAAAATAAATTTCTG